TAATCTCCCTGTGGTTCGACCCCGGTCTTGTCGGGTTATTTATTACTTCGACACTCCTGCACTTGGGAGAAGACATCAATCTTTTAGTCGTGTCACAAACCATTTGACGTGTATTCACTTTTGGTAGACACACTATCAATTAACTTATTTAATCACGAAAACAATTGCGATCCCCTTCCGGTACCCTTTTTTTTTCTTATTTTTTTAGAAACTTTGTTGCACACCTTTTCTCTTCCCACTACTACCAATGGAATTGCTTGTGCTATTGGAAAAGTGACACCAACCATCATATTATTGACATCGATAATAAAATTTAGTAGATTATCCTCCTCAGATCCACTACCTTCCTCAAGATGAGGATCCTCATTAACTGCATTAGTTTGCCTTTCACCAACACCATCTTATCAGAATTCAGACCCTGTGATGAAGCCCAATCATACTGACCGGTAGGAACAATGTTTGTAAATATGATATCATATTTACAACATAATGTTGGATTGATGCTAGCATGCCTAAACTTTCTTGCTCCGGGTATCTCCTACAACAAGGGACAATCAAGATAAAAATGCATAAAAAATAATGTCAAAATTCTTAATCAAATAGTTTATTACAGCTCTAAATATACTGGAAAAAAAAAACCTGGTTTTTAGCTTTCCACTATTCATCTGGTGCCAAAATTGTTCCAAGTTTAGCACGCCATCCTACTCCTGTTTCAGAAATCAACATTTTCTATATTCTCCAATCTTTTGTAATTCCGTCCCGCTTATTCTTTAATTGTGCTTTCATTAATGCATGGCTAGTTTGATTCTTAAAGCAATTCATAACATATTTTCACCCAACTTTGTCGAAATGTGTGTTAGGTCGCTTTCACCCAGCTTTGTCGAAATGTGTGTTAGGTCACATACCTTGCTTAATTGCTTTAATATATATATCATAAAAGGCATGCAACATCTCTAGTCCAACAAGCCTTATCTTGTAATTGAGAATCGTTCATGTTCTTGGTTAAAATGTGTTGTCTATGTTCTCGGTTAAAATGTGTTGTCTAATATACAATCAACAGGTTAATTTTCTAGAGGCGATGTAAAGGACATAGAATGCACAATCTATCTTAATTAAATCGCTAATTGAAATACAACATGCAAGTTGAGAACATAAACTTAGCATAATCAGCTTAACACTTTAATTTCTAGGTTTATTTTCATTAATATTTCAACAAGCCAATGTTTTTATTTCCTAAGCATAAACTATCAATTATGTAATATTACATTAGATGCTGAGATTTCTTAGATAAAATTTATTTCCATTAATTACATAAGAAGACGTTGTATAGAGCAGATAATAAAATTTATTTCAGTAGCTTGATATTAACATAGGTTTTATGTTTATTTCTATTCAACTGAGATAATAAAACTAACAATTAAACACATGTAAAGCACAATAACTGACACTGATGATAATTGGTGAACCGAAACAGAGATTAAAAATCTAACAAAAACACAACTGTTAAAACCTGGAAATGCTTAGGGAAATGTTCAACTAAACAACAAAATGTTCAATCGAAACATAATAGAGAAGATGACTAGCTTCAGTCCCATTTTCAGTAGCTTGTTATTGACACATGTTTTAAGTTTATACCCATTCAACTGAGATAATGAAACTAGCAATTAAACATATGTAAAGCACAACAACTAACACTGATGGTAAGTATTGAACCAAAACAGAGAGTAAAAATATAACAATAACATAACTGTAAAATATGAAAATCCACAGCAAATGTTCAATTACACAAAAAAAAATATTCAAACAAAACATACATAATAAAATGCAACAATTACAGACATGTTAATTCTCAAAAAACACACCGCAACTGAAACTTATAGAGTAAAGTAATTGTGCAACCGAAATAGAGCAACTATCCTTTAATTTACCTGCAACTATCCTTTAATTTACCTGTGCAACTGAGACAGAGATTGGTAAGATGCTTGTGCTTGAGCTTTTCAGGAGACTGATTCCGATGCCCTTTTTGGTTCTGACAAAGAAAACAATGTGAAGAGAAAATTATAATTAGAGAAAACCATTTGTTTTAGCAGATAAGACATGATATATACATTTTTTTAGGTACAGTGCCAAGAAAATTACCTTGATGAGTGCGTATCTTCTTCAACCGCGAAAGGAGTTCATCATAGTAGCAAATTAGTGGCAGATGGGCTTGATCTACACTCGGCTACAAACATTAGTGATTGGTCGATCTGTGTGAGAGAATGGAAGAGCGTGTATGGGTGTTTTTGACACAGCGAAGCGCAAGGAGGAAGAGAGCTCAGTTGAAGGGAGGCGAATGTGGAGGAGGAGAGACGACCATGATGGCAAAGGACAGATAGGGCTAATTAATTTTTTTTGGTAAAGGAAAGTAAATGCAGTGTTTTCTGAACAGCAGCCACGACAAAAGCAATACAGAGTTGCTTTTGTTTATCTTGTGTTTGGAACGCAACTTGTCTGGGCCCTAGGGTCCTTGAAACCATGGGCAGTTGTTAACCAAATAGCTTACAAAATATAACCGTAGAAAACGTGAACGCTATCACGTAATCTGAAGATCAAATTATGGAGTACCTTAAAATTAATAGGTTAATATTCTCATAAAAATAATTTTAATTAAATGTTTTAAAAGTTTTTAAAAAGTCATACATATATGATATTCATGCACCAACTTAAAATAGAGTGTTTAGATGTCCTAATTGTCTGTATGGGATTTTAAAGTTAATTTTATGATTATTAGGTCATTGGTTTTCCTATATAATTAACATCTTAAGTTAGTGAGGAATAGTATTATACATATCGTATCTCTCTTATTATTTGGATAAGAAAATGAGAAGAGGAATTTCATCTCATTGAAAATAATTATTTTGGTAACTGACCTAATAATTTAGTTTCTAAGAAAATAAGAAAAAACAAAGTATTAGTTATCTAACATATTCATTTATTTAGTGACAAATGAATAACGTTGGAATAACATGTAGGGTTTTTCTAACGTGTCCTAAAAACACAAGTTAACTAATGCAAACGAAATATCTTAATTTTTATAATAAACAATATTATATCATGAATTTGAATTCTTCTGAACTCACCCAATTATGAAAGTGAAATATTTCAAATCCAGCATGTGTCCGTTGAGAGCATGTTAAGGAAAACCCTAAATATAAAACTAATTATTGATTACAATTAATTACATTTTCTCACGGCTGATTAAAATTAAAAATTAAATTGAAACCAGAACTAGAACTAACAAATCATTGACCTAGTCACAAATGAATAGTGTTCCTAGTTACACATGAGTAGCGTGTCGGGAGACTATAAATGAATTAGAAAGGATGCTGGTGGCTTCTAAAATTTTTTATTTTTTGCAGGTTAATTATTTTATGTTTTTTAATTATTTTGATATATTAATATTAATAAATAAATTTTAAAAAATAAAAAATATTTTAAAAAATAATCTGTTAAATTTACAACTTCAAATTTGATGCCTGAATGGCCACAGGGCCCTCAAGGCCTGTACTTGCACCACCTTTGTCTTTTCTTACGTTTTGTATTTGTATATCATATTTTGATTAATAATGTCATCCTGCAGGTGGGTTCTTAACTTCCAACTAGTTTTCAATAAATAATAATAATAAATAATAAAAATACCTGTGGATCTTTTCCTTAGAAAAGGAGGTGCTACAGCCAAAACCATGGGCAGTTTTCTGTCAAACACCACAACAAAACCTGTTGCAGTAAAACCGGCTGCTACGCTCTTTGTATTCTGCTTTATTTTATTCTGTCTCCACCCTCTTTTTATCCTTCACTTTCACTCTCTATTCTCTTGCCATTTACGTCTTCTCGCCTTTGTCTCTCTCTCTCAGCTTCTCCCTCTCCTTCATTATAATTTGCCTGCAAAGGCTGAATGGGCACTCAAATTTTTCAGGGCATTAAAGAAGTTGCTTTGCAGAACTTGATATTGCGTTTCAGCTTCGATCTTTCAGACCTCGGTGCTTTGAGCAATCATCTTTAGTGGTTTTTGTTCCAAGCTTCAGTTCTCCTGCTGCCACTGGGTATGCTTTTGTTTCTTTTCTTCTTTTTTTAACACCTTCATTTCTGCCACCCAATTATGCTTTAGAATTGGATGCGCTGGTATCTTATAACGTCCCAACATGGGGTATCTGACGCATTAGGATCTCAACTGGGTTTATTCCTAAAATCTTGAACCCAATAGAAAGTTTTAGAAAAGTAGCTGATGACAAAATTCTCTCATTGGTAGTGGATAAGGTAATTAAGTAAGTTTTAGGAATTAAGTATTTTTTGTTAGGTTGATGGAACACAATGATTTAGGTGGTGGGATATTTCCAGGCATGGGATCAGGAATGCTAGGACTAGAATTGCCACTACACCAACAACAAAACCCACAAAACCCTCACCACTTGCAGCATCCCCAGATTGTAGCTTATACTCACCATGAATCTGATCACCACCAACACTCTCAGCAATCTGCCAAACATGCCTATCCTTTTGCCTCCACAAAGCCTAAACAATTATTATCACCATTGAGTAATGAAGATGAGCCTTCTTTCACTGGAGATGACAGCACCACTGATGGAAAAAGGAAAATTTCTCCATGGCAAAGAATGAAGTGGACTGATAATATGGTTAGGCTACTTATAATGGCAGTGTTTTACATTGGTGATGAGGTTGGGTCTGAAGTGAGTGATCCTATAGGCAAGAAAAAGCCCGGTGGGCTGGCACAGAAGAAAGGGAAATGGAAATCAGTTTCTCGGGCAATGATGGAGAAAGGGTTTTATGTGTCTCCACAACAATGTGAGGATAAATTCAATGACCTGAACAAGAGGTATAAGAGGGTTAATGATATCCTTGGAAAGGGGACTGCCTGCAGGGTTGTGGAGAATCAAAGCTTGCTTGATACTATGGATTTGTCACCGAAAATGAAGGATGAAGTGAGAAAATTGCTCAATTCCAAGCACTTGTTTTTCAGAGAAATGTGTGCTTATCATAATAGCTGTGGCCATGCTCCAAGTGGGGTTGCCTCTGGTATTAGTAACTCGCCAGAGATGGCTGCAGACCCGTCTCATGCTCAGCACCAACAAGCAACACAACAGCAACAGCAATACCAAAGGTGTTCTCATTCAACTGAAAACACTCAAGTTGTAACCAATTCGATGACCGAAACAGAGGGGTCGAAAATGGCAAAATTGGCAAGAAATGAAGAGGATGACCACGACGAAAGCGAGGAAGATGAAGATGATTATGCGGAGGATGAGGAGGAAGAGGATGATGATGATGAAAGAGACGATGATGAAGAGGATTATGAAGAGAATGAGGACGAGGCAGTAGAAGGCAATTCAAGGCATCAAAACGGGCATGGGCATGGAGATGAAGATGACCGTGACGAGAAATCATCACGGAAGAGGCCCAGAAAGGAAGTGTTTTCAACAACATCATCTTTGATGCAGCAATTGAATGGGGAAATAACGAACGTGCTCCGAGATGGAGCAAAGAGTTCATGGGAGAAGAATCAATGGATGAAGCTGAAGTTGGTGCAATTAGAGGAGCAGCAAGTGAACTACCAATGCCAGGCATTTGAGCTTGAAAAGCAAAGGTTGAAGTGGGTGAAATTCAGTAGCAAGAAAGAGAGGGAAATGGAGAGGGCTAAGCTAGAGAATGAGAGAAGAAGGCTTGAAAATGAGAGAATGGTACTGATTGTAAGGAAGAAAGAGCTTGAGTTGCTTGATACTACACATCAACAGCAACAACTGCCTTCAAACAAGCGGAGTGATCCTTCTTCCATTGCTGGATGAAATGTACTATAACAGATTAATTCTAGATAGTTTTGATAGATAGGAATGGCATTTTTTTGTTGTTCTTATAGGTTTATTCTAGATAATTTGCTACCATTTCTGTACAAATTAATAATATATGAATAAGACCAAGAACTCGGAGAGTTTGTTTCTCTTGAATGCATTTTTTTCCCTCAAGATGATGTCTAATCACTTGAGAGTGCCACTCTCGCTACATGTTCAATTCCTACTAATTAAAACTCTGAAAGTGCTTGGGGACAAAGCTAACAGATGGGTGTTCTTGATGAGAAATATTGGATTGACAAATAAGATCCACTATATTGCTGAAGCGAGGGAGTGAGGAGTGGCGGGGCCATGTAGGGTCATGAGCAGCAATTGTCCTTTTTTTTTTTTAATTTCTTTTATATTAAAATATTAATAATATTTTAGGAGGTTTAATTTTTTTTATTGGTTACAGTTAACCCAATTTAGCTATTGTTAACTTATAATATAATATAATATATGTGTACAATATATTTTATTAATTTTTTTATATTTTTATATTTTTATTAATTAACCGAGAGCTTTTCTTCTTTCTTTAGGCTATTATTTTTATTTTCTTATAATTTTTTTCTCCAAGTCCTAAACTATTAATTAATTAAACAAATAATATCTTAACTTTATGCTTAGATAAATTTTTTTATCTTTTCTATTTATTTCATTATTTAATTTTATTTTTATTCTTTTATAATTAATTATTGAAAATGTTAGGATTTATGATCATTTAAAAGTTTGTTAAATCAATATGTATATGGATAATATTATATACATATGAATATAAAATGAAATGGATTTTAATAAATTGATAAGTATTTTGCTATGAATTTCATATTAAAAATGGATATTGATGAATTTATTAGTGATTAAAAATAAATTATAGGATAACTCAAAAAATTAAAGATATAATAGAGACATAAAAAAATATTTAATATTTATGTTTAATCCACCTATAGAAAAAAATAAGTCAACAATAATAATATTAATTTGCCATGACAATTCTTTTAATATATGATTTTAGCTACTCTCTATCATATATTAGTATAAAATTATTGCCAAGAATTTTACTAGTTCTTGAAAGATTTAGAAAATGTAAGTATTTAACTCATCTTAAACTAAAAATAGATAAATGATAATTTGATTATATATATTTTAAAAAATATTTTTGATGAGATTGATTATAAGTTATTATGAATTGGTTTTAAAATATTAAAACTCCAAAAAAAATTATATCCTAGGATTTTTTGTTTCAAAATCATTTTTAAATTAATTTTGTTTGGTATGAGTTAATACATATATTTAAAATTAATTTTTTTATATAATATATATCTACATAATATATAATATCAAATATTTATTAATAATTTATTTTTTATTTAAAAAATTATGGCTCTGTCACTGGAGCGAGAGATGGCAGAGACTAGAAAAGCTTCCTTTGCAGGAGCGGTCCCATGGCCATTCCCTCTGCCGTGCTTCATGCATTATAGACCAGTTGCCGGGCAAGAAAGAGTCCCACACTAGCTGAAGTTCCAACTTCTGGTCCATGGGTAAAATCCTTTGCAATTACAGTCCCTATTAGCAAAGCCTACAAGATTAACGTTCAATTTTGAATTTTGAAAGAGGTCCTGAGACCCTGCCTGAGGCTTAGGCTCTGATGAAGGATACGAGGAGCAGTGGTATACTGCATTGCATCCTTGGAAGGGAGTTTGTGAAAGCAAATCTAATCCAAGGGTGCAAGTAAATGTTACGCCTGGTGAAGACTCAAACCCACATTCGACTGATTTGAAGCCAGATCCATTATTTAGGACACAGGCGGAGACGTCCATGAAAATTTATATGTTATTGTTATTTCTTTATAAAAGAAGCTGGTTCACCTCCATGAACAGATGGTGGCACCAGGATCGATTCCATTCTGGCTGTCGGGTCTTGAACCTCGCCATAGTAATTGAAGGGGAGAAAAGAGAGCGGTTACTTTCTAAATTTTTGGGACACGACTCCCAAAGGCATCGGCAGCATCACGAATACTAGACGCAGTTGCATCCAGGATGAAGTTGAATTCGATGGCTATATATATATATATATATGTATATTTGGACACTTATACTTCGTAGATCCGCTGGAGTGAAAAGCAAAAGGCCGAGCTCAAAACGCATAGCATTTCATTTTGGACATAAATTTCTAGAACCAGCTGTTCATGCGGGAAGCAAATGGCCTTTGATAATGAAGTAAAAGTAGGAAAGATGGATATGAGTTTCCACGACATTCATTTCAGGTGTGAACAAAAGTCAGTGTCACCGTTCAAACACCAAAACAAGCTGCTGGTCATAAAACCTGGTGGGATGGATACAGCCTCACAGGTGCCAGGAGCTGAATTCACCACCTGCTTTCATAATTATGAGTGCGCTAAAAAAGCACAAAAATTTATGGGGTTTGAAACATTTTAATCCTCAAGCTCAATAATCTTGACCACTGATGCATCCCCAACTTTTTGGCAAATAACTACCCTGTCATGCGACTTTATTACTCCGGAAGCTTTTCCGTGATCAAGAGCAACCTTTAGAATGGACTCATTCGTAGCACTTGTAGATTCCGCCTGCAGGAGTCATGTAGGAAAATCAGTATTCAATGAACGCTACCACCCCCCCCCC